CGGCCACTGAGACCAGGCCCAGTGGAGCATGCCTGTAATCCCAGTGCTGGGGAGCCTGAAAACAGGAGAATCACTACAAGTCCAAACTACATAGTGAGTCCCTGTACCAAATACATAAAAAATAAAAAGAGCTATTGTTTTACTTGGGTTAAACATAATATTTTTAAGATTTTTATTTTAGTTTGAAATAATTCCGTTAATCATAACTGCTGTTCGTGGATACGATATTGACACTCGTTTTTCTGTCTGAATTCTTCACTTTCTCCTCCTTCCTTGTCCACAGGGGCAGTAGGCTGCACTGTAGAATCTAGGACAGTGATGGCAAACTTTTTTGAGGTTCTAATGGCACAGACAGGCCACTGTGGGACGCATGCCACAGGTTCACCACCTCTGACTTGGCATAGAACGCTAGCCCATCCTGGTGTGTGTGTGTTCATTTTATACGTCTGCATGCCTGTTCGTTATGTCTGTCAATCCATCCTTAACTAACTTGTAGTTCGTTGATTAACTTGATTCTCAATTTTCCTTCTGTGAAAGGGAGGTAGTGATTCCTACCTTGCAGTCTGTTGTATGGATTAGAATGTAGTAAAACCTTAGTAACTGCCAGTTACGTCTGTTTTTTAGTACTACATTGTGGGTCAGTGTTAAGGTAGCAGATGTCTTCTATTCAGTAGTTTATGTAAGATGCTTGTTATTTTGCGTTTGAGTTTGGACAGGTTAGGATTTGTGTATTTGTTTGCTTACGAATTTTGTCTGTTTCTTATCAGTAGTGTCAACATGAGAGTCCTGGATTTGTCATTTTCCTACAGATAGGTTTTGGTGTCTGGCTAATGCTGTTATGGCAGAGATACTACTTTAGGTCATGCGTGTGTTCTACGGCATTTAATCAGTTACCTCTACTCAGTTGCCATTTGGCAAATATCAAACATTTCGTGACATTGTAAAGTCTTTACAGTCTGGTTTATTTTCTCTTGGCATGCTATACAGTAAGTCTGATCTAAAAAGAAGCTAAATTTGTTACAGACAACAGCTGATCATTTTTATCAAAATGCTAGAGGTGTTCCTTAGTGTACACAACTCTTCTTGATCATATTTGTAACGTGGAAGTTAAGAGAAGGAGCTTCATGTCGGAAATGATAAATCTACTATGTTCGTGAGCTTCCCCTGCCGTTCAACATTGCATTTCCTAACAAATGTATAAAATACTCAACTACATACATTTATATAGTTTTGTGAGCTAAAAGTCTTAAGCTGTTACACTTAAAGTTGGAAGACTTCCTAGGTGAAAACTACAGAAGTTTGTTCC